ACAGAAACCCAAGACACTTTGGGACAACAATCCCACAAACAAGCCACACACACATACATAGGAAACCTGGAAGAAGCTCCAGGACCCTGGCTTCGGATTAGCTCAACTCCAGCCACTGTGGCCATTTGGGGAGTGAGCCAGGGGCTGGAGGACCTCTCTGTCTCTGCTCTCTGTAACTGCCTTTCAAATAAAAAATGAACAAATCTTTTTAAAAAAGAATAACCGGGTCGGGGCAGGCCAAGGGAGGAGCCGAGAGCTCTGTCTCCTTGTGGGTGGCACGGGCCCAGGGGCCAAGCACTGTCTGCTGCCAGCCATCTAGGGGCGGTCAGAGGCCATCAGCAGTATCTCAGCAGCTGCCCCATGGAAACGGTGAGGCCCCTCATGGCTTGTTCCCTCATACTCCTTGAGGACAAACAGAGGGAATGTCTGTGCTGCTCTCCTCTGAGGTTTGAAGTCCCTTTGCCGTCCACATCTGTCAAGCGGCCTGGGTTTCAGGGCACTGAGCACAGAGCTCCTGCGGCAACAGACGACCTACTTTGGGGGGCTGCTGTCCAGGAGTGACTCTCCTGCCTGGCCCCAGATGCCAGGCTGGCGTGCTCAGGCCACGTGGACAGCTGCCTGGATCTTTGTAGTGCTCAGCCCCTTGGGGTGCTAATCTTTATTTATCTTCTATTTATTTATTTATTTGGAGGACAGAGAAAGGAACAGTGAGAGACCCACCACCAGGCTCAGTGTCCAGACCTCTGCACAGCTTGGGCCTGCATCACGCCAGAACCCTCGGTCCAGGCTGCTGATGCTGGAGGCCCCAGTAGGTGTACTCAGGACAGCCCAGCAGTCCCGTGACACCGCACTACACCAGGAAACACAGCACATCTCGCTTCCTAGACTTACTCTGTTTGCTGCCTGGGTAACCTGGAGCTCACTGTCCCCGACACGCAATGCCGCGCAGTCACCAACAGGACCGACGTGGGTGTGCGTGTCCTCAGGCCCTTGCGCATCCCGCTGGCCCTACAGCTGCACGTCCTTGCACATCCTGCTCTGGCCCTATAGCAGCACAGGGGTTCACGGCCCCCATCCGAATGCAGCTGGAGACAGGAGCGAAGAGGCCAGAAAGAAGCCCCTGCCAATGCCCCCTGGTTAGCTGCACTGCGTTGTGGCCCTGGGGGCGCCTGTGAGTCCCCTCCACCAGCAGGTGGGTGGCTCCCCAACCCCCAGCAAGGGGCTGTCAGTGCAGGGGTCCAGGGTTAGAGTGAGTGGCAGTCAGGGCCCAACGGCGAGCCAGGCACTGGGCAGAGGCTGCAGAGTCAGGAAATTATGGAGTGCACTCACTCTTTGCTTCCACTACTCCTCTTGACCCGGCTCCTTGGCCCTGCCCTTCGACGCAGGAAACACGCATGCTGACACCCCAACTTTCTGGGCTGGGGGACAGCTGTGTGGCCGTGTAGGTGGGCCGAAGACTTCTTGTTCCAGCTTTCAGAAAACAAACTGACCACATGGGCCGGGCTCCTGGGAGGAGCTACCTCTTGTTCTGGCTCATCCCAGGTTCTCTGTCCCCGGCAGCCCCCTTGCCTGTCCTGCCCTGGCAGCCATGCATGTCCACCTGCCGGTGGGCATGGCTGAGGCGTCTGCTCCTCCCATCACTCCTCTCAGTGATGAGGAGGCAGGTGGGCGGCTGCCCCTGCTCATAGCCTCCAGTGACCATCCTGCCCCCAAGCGGATGGAGGGCCCAGGGCAGGTGAAGCCTGAGGCCTTGGCCTCCCCATGGCAATGGCAGAGCAGCAGGACCCGCCAGCCTCACAGTGCAGGCTTCTGCCCTCACTCTTCCCCCTCAGCACCACCCCACCCCTCACCCTCCACTGTCTCACCCCAAGCCGTATGCCCCACCACTCCCCGGCACCCTGTGTGCAGGGTCCTGGTTGACTATGAGTCCTTCAGGAACCCAGGCCCAGCCCAGCTCTGTCCCAGCTCCTGGCCTTCTCAAAGCCAGGGTGCCATCTTCAGGAGTGAGGGGTGGGCTTAAACCTGGGGCCCTCACGGCCAGGCCCAATCCCCACCCCAGTTCCCATCGCCTTCCCATCTTGCCCTGAGAGCCAGTGTGGGGGCTGTGGGACACTGTGCCTAGGGACAGAAGGCTTTTGTGCAGCCACATTCGTCCTGCCCCTTCCTCTCCCTCCAGGACAGAGGAGGCCGTGTTCTGGGTCGGGAGTGGGGTCCCGCATGACAGGCGTGCCATGGGGAAGGCGACCAAGGCAGCCACAACCAGTCCCCACCAGTGGCTGCTAGCAGCTCCGTGAGTGGCCTGCACCTGCTGTCCTACTAGCCACTTTCATCAGGGCTGCTTCCGGCCAGCCGTGGCTGTCTTTCCTGTTCCATCGGGGGTAGCAATTGGGGGGGGCAATTGAACCCCCTAAGCAGCTGTGCAGTGGGAAGCAGCATCCGCCCCCAGGCTTGGCTCCTGCTCACCATGTTGCTGGTGGGCATGTGGAGAGGAAGGGGAGATGGGCTCCACACGCAGGAAAGTCTTCCCAGGACTGCCTACCACCCACCAGGTCACCCAGCACCACCCGCGGGCTTGAAGCCCTCTGTGGCTCACACCTGAGCTGAACCCCACTGCACCGCTGGGTGCCTGATCACAGGCCCATCTCCTGCACAGCAGGTGACCCCAACCCGGCACCACCAAGACACTGCATGCTGGTGGGACTCAGCTCATGGACCAGTACTGACTGCTCATAAGCTTTGTGCATTAGAACATGTGTAGGTCTGGAGTTCCTTATGTAAAACACACAATTTCCCTCTATGAGAAATTCATCAATGAATTATTAGTTAATACATCACAAAGCACTACTAATAAATCATGTTTTTAATTGTAGACCTTTAACGATGGACTTTAAAAATTGGAAAAAATTAATGGATTTTCCATTGAACTCCAGGACTATGAGAAATTAAACAATCCCATCTTCCCCCCAAAATACTAGAATCTGCAAGTACCTCCCTGTGTCAGCAGAAAGCACCACAGAAAAGTCAGGGCAAGCTACGGAGGCCCTAGGAAGGGACAGGCCAGCCAGCCTTCCAGGGTGTAAGTCCAACGGGTGGCAAGGAAAAGTCCCACCAAGGCCAGGGCAACTGAGGCTGGGTTTGGGGCAAGTGGGAGCCAGCTCATGGAGATGTTCCCAAGGTCTTCCCATTGTGTGTTAAGTCCAAGACCCCTCAGCCTGTGTGACGGCGCTGATCAGCACGCTGTCCCCAACATGAAGCCTCCTTGAGGCTCAACCAGCCTGTGCTGTCTCCTGAAGACAGACAAGGGAGGAATGTGCACCTGTCAGGCTATAGAGGGGTTGGCTGGGCCACCAGCACCAAGCACACCCACCAGGCACAGCCACCCTCACCACAGCAGGGGCGGCCACACCCACCCACCAGGGACCTCTGATCCACACCAAAGCCTTGCCCCTGGTGCCCTGAGCAGGTAAGTAGATGGAGGGGGCCTGGACATGTGAGTGCTAGAGAGACGACGATCAATACATTTGTAGATGGGTGATAGATGATCCAGGACGATGATGAAGATAGATAGGTCAATTGATAGCTGCTTGCAGGGGTAGGCAGGTACGCAGATGACTGAATGACAGATCCCATGGTGGGTGCACACCCATGACTCCAAGTGGGATCCCGTGATGGGTGCATACTCAGGACTCCATGTGGGATCCCGTGATGGGTGCACACCTGGGACTGTACGTGGGATCCCGTGATGGGTGCACACTTGGGGCTGTACGTGGGATTCCATGACAGGTGCACACTCGGGGCTCTGTGGGATCCTCCTCACTGGCTCCAACAAGTCACCACAGGTGGGTTCTCAGGCTGGGGCACAAGGCGGCAGCCCTCAGCAGAGCCCCTCAGCCATGGTGGGTGACACCTGCTGGTGTCTGTGGTGGACAGTGGTAGACTGAGCCAGGCCTAGAGCTCAGGGGTACAGACACCACCAGGGACAACCCCACCAGTGGCCACAGCATGGGGGATCCTCTACTGACTGACGGCCCTGGAGGCCAAGGGGCAGTCACGTGCGAGGCCAGGTACCCCACACCTCCTCATGGGGCTTCTACCATCTGCCCTGAAATGGTGGCATCTCCACCTCACACAGGGGAAGCTGGGCACAAAGTCCTGTTATTCCCTGCCTGCTCTCTCACACACTCTCTGCAGCCCGGCCCCTGGGGTCTCCAGGGCCAGTGTCTGGGTTCAGTCGTTGCACATCAGGTGGGTGAACCCCAGGCCGAGAAGGAGACACAAGAGCCATGCCTCCTCTCTGCCCACAGTCACCTGGACCAGGCTACTGGTGCTCCTGCATGGGGGCTGGGCCTGCAGCCCATGTGCGCCTTGCCCAGGGAAACCGCAGGTCTGCTGGTCTCTCGGGGTCAGGAGACGTCATGCACAGCTGCAGCTCCGAGCCATGGCCACCAGTCCCAGCCCTACACCCAACATTTCCTCCTAAGCGCCGATCCCCAACCCCTGCCAGGGAGCTCGGAAGAAGCACCTGAGCTGTGGGGTCTCCCAGGTACAGATGAGGAGGCCAGTCCCCTCCAAGACCCTGCCCCTCGTCCCAGGGTGCCCCACTCCCTCCATACCCTGTGTGCTCCCAGACAATTGCCCCTGCCGGCAGCAGGGCTGATCCCCTAACTCTCCTGGCCAGAAAGGCAGGCCCTCCTGCCTCAAGAGTGCACAGTCCGCCTTGGGGTCCCTGCTGCCCACTGAGTCTGCCAGGGGCAGGTGTCTCCCCCCAACTCTCAAACTCCACTCTCCTGGCTCTGTGGCAGAGGGGGCCCTGAGATGACTCTTGTTCTCCAGGACCCCACCGCAACGAGAGTTCCCCCGCCTTGGGCCAAGGCACAGGGACCTCTGTTTGAGGTCTGTGGCCCTGAAGTGATCACCCTTCAAGGTAAGAGGGCCAGAGCAGCAAGGAGCAGCCGGTGTTCCACAGCCCATCAAACCCTGAAAACCTGCACCACTCGCACCTGCCAAGCCTCATTCTGGGTGCCTGGCCACTGCACCAGCACACACCCAGCCTGGACATCCTTGGGAGCATGACCTCCCCAGGGAGCTGGGCAGCAGAGGGCCACTCTGCTGCTCCCTTTGCAGCCCTAGGGACCTGGCCCAGACAGCAGCCCCAGCCCTCCCAGCTCCAGCCCAGGGAGAGAACAGCTAGGCACAGGTACCAGGAGCAGGCGCATTCCACACCATTTATTTCATTGCAGCGTGAAGGGACACACTAGGGGGTTCTACAGCAGATCTGCCTGGGCTTTTATAGGTCAAGTACGGACACACACACGGCCGTTGGGTGAGGTCACAGCTGCCCCGTCCCCACCTGCCACAGGGCTGACTCGGTGTAAGCAAGTGGCAGTATCCGGAGTCTCACCAAGCCAGGGAGGAGCTCTGGCCCCAACTTCCAGCTCACATGGCATGGAGGAGGTGCCCTACGCCTCACCCAGCATTCACACTGAGTGGAGGAGGCACCTGCCAGACCACCGCCCCACAAGGTGTTCACCTGGCATGGCGGAGGCACCCGCCAGACCACCGCCTGCACAATACTGGAACATGGTTCAGCCGGCCAGCACCTGGCCCTGAGAAAGCATGAGTGACTCTGAGCTGAAACGTGCTGCCAGTTTGCAGTTTATGCCTTCATCTTTGCCAGAATACTACATGGAGGAAAACAGAAAAGGAAAAAAAAATGTATACATATATCCTTACATTTAGTCCCAAATCAGAGCCCAGCAGGTAAGAGCGCATCTATAAGAACAGAAAAGCATGGGTGAGTGCCCCTGTGGGGGAGGGACTCAAGGCCCCCACACTGTGTTACAGAAGTGCTCACCACCCAAGACAGCAGCCTTGGCCAGCATCACAGTGAGCACAACAGCCAAAAGAAGCTGCACTTCCTAGGGACCCAACAAAACCGACACAGGTAAGGGCTTAACAAAGAGCCAAGGAATGTCTGAAGATAAATGACAAAGGAACCCACAGACCCAGAGTAGGGAAGCGCTGGCGGTTCCTGTGAGATGTCCCAAAGCTGCCAGTGGTTTCCAAGATGGAGAACAGCCAGTGGGATGGGCCGGGCCCCCTGGGTCCCAGCCTGGAACGTAGGTTTCCGCACGCACCTGCTTTCCCGGGGACAGGTCAGCTCTAGACAGCAGACTCTACACAAATGTCCCAGGCCACTCGGCCTGACCTCTGGGGCCACAGCCTGGCACCAGCCATTCTCCTGAGCCATGTTGGGGTGGACCCTGTTTGCCTGAGGGGTGCAGGGCAGGTGCTCCACACCCCCAAAAATCACACACAGGGTTCCTAATGGGGGAGGGGGTGTGCTCCAGCAGCCCAATAGGCAGTGAGGGCTCAGAAGGATCTGCAGCTGAGCTCCTGCCTACCCTGTCCCACGGTGGGCTTGGACACCCCACCTGGCGGAAGATCCCATGAGCCCCCTGAGTCCTCACGTTTAGAGTTCACAGTCAAGGAGGCTGACATTCGCCCAGGCTGCAGGGGGGTCCCGCTTGGCATGCATGGGGCAGACTTTGGGTGGAGAGGACCAGCGAGCGGCACTGGGCACACAGCACACCAGGCCAGGCAGCCAAGGATGCCCTTCAGCAACGGATCTGTTCCTTCACCAAACCACAGCTTCAGTTATCTGCCCTAAGTTTAAGCTAAAAAAATAAAACTTTTTTTTTTTAAAGCAACTTGTCCTGGGTTCTAGCCACAGCCACAGCTGGCACGGGGTCTCCTGGCAGAGCATTACCAACCCAACTGTGTGGAATCCCCATCTGCCCACAGCCCAGTCCCAGTACTGCCGGGCACTGCCGGGGACCCATCGTCGCCTCCAGACCACTCTTCCGGGAGTGTCGCCTACGGCACAGCTGCCCTAGCCTGGCGGCGGCAAAATGAAGCCAAAGAAATGCAGAGTGGGAAGGCGACGTTTGGTACAGCACGGTTCGCGGCCCCCAGGGTCCGAGGGGGCCACCTGCCAGGTACCTCCCACCCCACCCCCAGAGGCGTTCGTCGACCGCGAGCACGGCCGCTACGCCGCGCCCTGCTCGGGCTGTTCGGGCAGATTGAGGACGAACGGGAAGAGCACGCCGCGGGCTTCAGGAAGGGCCCCCAAGGGCTCGGGCTCGAAGCTGCCGCCCTCACCCGCGTCTGCGTCGCCCGGCGGGGGCACGAAGCGCCAGGTGCCGGCGCGGCTCACGCAGTAGATGGCCCCATCCAGCGCGGCACAGCGGAAGGGCTGCAGGCCGCAGGCGGCCGAGGCGCCCGGGGGCCGCAGCTGCGAGGCGCACGAGCTCCACTGCTTGGCCAGGCAGTGGTAGCGCGAGACGCTGACGCCGCCACCGGCGGCCGGGCCCGCCGCCGGCTGCGCGTCGCCGCGGGGCCCGCTCAGGTCGAAGCGGTAGAGGAAGCCGCCCAGGGCCACCATGTCGGCCGAGCGCTCGCGGCTGCTGCTGCACGGGCACTCCTGCCACTCGTCACGCCGGGGGTCGTACTTGAGCAGACGGTAGAAGAGCGAGCCCCCGGAGACGTAAATCTCGCCGTTGCAGGTGGCCGCCTCGTGGGCCACGGCGAAGGCGCCCCGGGGCAGCGGCGCCACGGGGCTCCAGCGGTCGGCGCGCGGGTCGTAGCGTTCCACACTGAGCAGACACTCGCCGCCCACGGCGTACAGGTGCCCGTCCAGGGCCAGCAGCTGCAGCTGCGAGCGCGCCTGGCACAGCGGCCGCACGGCGCTCCAGCGGTCGGTGGCCGGGTTGTAGCAGAAGACCTGGTCGGAGGGGCGCGCGCGGCCGTCGGGGCCCGCGGGCAACACGCCGCCGGCCACGAAGAGGTAGTTGTAGAGCACGCAGAGGCCGCAGCCGCGCGCCGCCGCGCCGTCGGGCAGCCGCGTGAGCTCGCGCCAGCCGCCCTCGGCCCGGTAGCAGTAGACGGCCGCCTCGGCGCGCGCGGCCCCCGCCTCCCCCGACGGGCTCTGCGGCCGGCTGCCCGCGCGCTCCCCCGCCGGCGGCCCGAGCGCGGCGGCCGACAGGCGCGCGCGGCCCGAGCGCAGGCGGCGGCGCAGCAGCAGGTCGCGCTCGGCGCCCGACAGGCGCCCGAAGACGGCGGGCTCGCGCAGCACCTCCAGGTAGTGGTCGCTCATGAAGCGGTAGGCCGCGTCGCGCAGCTCGGCCAGCCGCTGCCGCTTGGCCGCGCCCAGCACCTCCAGGCAGTTGGCCAGGCTCAGCTGCGGCGCCACGGCGTCGGTGGCGCGCTGCGCGGCCCCGGGCAGCTGCAGGCGGCGCGCGCCGGCCACCACCTCGGCCGCGTTGTCGGGCCGCACGCCGGCCATGCGGCCGCTGTACGCGTCGGCCAGCAGCAGGCGCAGCGCCGCGAAGCTCACGCCCTGCACCCGCAGCACGTCCCGCGAGGCGCGCGCGCGGAAGTAGTCGCTGCGCGCCGCCAGCACCGCCTTGTGCGCGCGCAGCCGGCGGCCGCAGACCTCGAGGACCAGGTCGGGCTCGCCGTGCGCGGCCCAGGCCCCCGGGGGCACGGGCACCGGCTCGGCGGGCTCCTCCGGGGACGTGCGCTCCTCCTGCGGGGACGCGGGCTCCTCCTCCGGGGACGCGGGCTCGTCCGGGCCGCCGCCGACCTCCCGCTGCGTCTCCACCACCCGCCGGCCGCTGCGGCACGGGGGCGGGGAGGCCGCGTCCCCGGAAGGGGACGGGGAGGCGTCCGCGGAGCTGAAGCACAGGGACGCGCCGAGGCTGCAGGGAGCCTGTGGCGCCGCCGGGGCCGCTGCGCCGTCCTCCCCGCCGGCCGCGTCGGGCGCGTGCAGGCCGCCTTCCCCGGGGGTCCCTGCGGGGCCGCGCGCCGAGTGCCCGCGGTCGTCCCCCGGATAGAGTACGCAGGCGGCCCCCGAGTGCGCCATGGGAGCCCGGCCTGGCGCACCCGAGGCGCCGACGCCGGCAGCTCCGTTCAAGGTCTTCGCGCGGCCCTCGCCCTTCTGGCACGGAGCGGGGCGGATCCGACTCGCCCTGAACTCGTGAGCCGCCGCGGCTTCTGCGAAGGTTGTCCCCCGCACACACACACCTGGGCGAGGTGAGTCCGTGGGTCCCCACTGGGGCCTGGCGCGCCCCTGCCCAGGGGCCAGGATCTCCACAGCGAGGTCTGTAGGACACAGCTACCCCACAAGGTTTTGCAGCCCTTTACTGTTAGATGGCAAGGTCCTGAGGGCCGGCCCAGACTCACGGCCGTGCCGGTCACCGCCCTGGCGCCTTCTGCAGTCTGATATGTCACCAGGGATGTTTTTCCATTCTCGGTCCTGTTTGGAGCAGAGAGAGACAGAGGAGGGTCTGTGAGTATGGGGTGGGGGCGTGGTTTCCGGTTGACAGAGTTTTGCCTAGCCCCCCCCTCTCCGGGACATCCCAAATATGGAAGGCATTTCATTTAGAAAGGGGGACCCTCCCCACACACCCGCCCTGAATGCACTGGGGGGCTGCCAACTCTGGAGGGCTTCCTGCCCGTCTTCCCAGGGACCTCAGGGTCATAGAACACAAACGGTTGTGGCTCCCAAATCCACGCATGTGCCAGGCTCCCCTTGCAACAGGTGGACCTCCCCGCCCTGCTGTAAGGGGGTCCACAGGTGCCACTGGCCAAGGCTTTCAAGGACTGCAGCCCCCCTAGTAGAGCAGTGTAGCCAGAGGACACCTGACCCTGGGACCGTGGCTGCTCTCCTGAGCTGGGTCCACTTGACCATGATGGACAGGGGCCGTTCCCCTGGTTTGTGGCTCAGGCAGTGACTGCTCTGGATGTGGGATCTGCCCCTGCACTAATGTCCCACGGTGATTTCCTGGCCTGCTCCCTGCATGTAGGTGCGGGGTGGGAGTGCGGACATGGGAACTGCTGGCAGGAAGCATGGGTGTGACCTGGCAGCGCCCGTGTGTATTCAGCTGTGCTGTGCCTGGGCTGCTCTGCCGGAGACGGGGACGTGGGAACACGCGGGTGGGCTGCCAGAGAGGATGCAGGCCCACGTGGGACATGGGGACAAGCGTGTGGACCTGTGTAGGCAGACTGCTGTGGCCTGCAGAAGAGACGGAGGCCCAGGCCCACGAGGGACAAACAGGCGAGCTAGTGAAGATGGGCTCTCCCCGGCTGGATCATCAGTCACATGTAGCCTTACGCCAGTGGCCAAGGGGATTCTGCACTGTGGGGCAGCCCAGGGACTGTGCCTCCTGGCATGTACATGGTGCGTGCCTTCCCCAGTGACCCACAGCAGGCACTCAGAACCAGGTGAGGGGGCCGGCCCATGGGCGTCTGATGCTGAGTCAGCAGCTCGGCTGTGGCCATGGGTATCACACTTCTCGGGGCTATCTGGAGGGGCTTTCCTCCCCCTTGTGGAAGCTCTGGGGTTGGAAAGCCCCGGAGAAACCCAGGGCCCTGTGCAAGTACCTGCCCTATCCCCATCACCAGGAAATACGTGCAGGGCCCCTCCACTGGGGTGGGAAGGGGCCTCCCCACAGACAGGGCAGCATGGGGCATGCTGGCGAGGCCATGCCCAGCTGTCCCTCCCGATTGGACGTGTTCCAAGAACCAGCTTTCATGAAACAATGCAGGTACGTTTTCCCTCAGCGGGCATACAGATTCCTTCTGAGGGAAGGTGGGGAGTCTCTACTGATTTTTGACTTTTGTGTATGACCTCTGTAGTCCTGGCAGGTGATGGCACAGCATGTTAAGCCTTTGTTTATGACACTGGCAACCTACATTCCAGCTTTTCAGTATCCAGCTCCTGCCAGTGTGCCCAGGAAAAGCATGCCAGGTGGGGGTTGTGAGCTCCCAGCCTGGCCCTGGCCATCATGTGGAGGGGCAACTCCTGTGTCCCCTTCTCCGTCACTGTCTTCAATGTAAATAAAGATCACCTGTGATCTCCCATATTGACTGTCACATGGGCATTGGTTTATTGTGGACTTCTGTTGGCAGCATGCCTTCCTTCACATCCCCGCTCAGCATGTGAAAGCATGTGCAGACCCTCGATGGACTCCTGTGTGCTGTCTGAAAGAACACCCTTCTCAGGTCCTCGCACCCCTGCCAGTCCTGGGCCATGCCCCACAGGACCACAGGCTCCCAGAAATGTGCTGGGCCCACATCATTCCAGGACAGCGGGATTCACAGAGCTGGCAGCCCAGGAATCCATGGAAAACAGCCACACGAGAGCCATACAGGTCTGTGGACAAGGACACGTCGATTCCCTCATTCTTGGGTGTGCACATCAGCGCTGTTTCTCAGAGCCCAGGCTGGGTGGCTCCTGGCTCCAGCTGTGTGGGGAATGAACCACTGTATGAAAGTTCTCCCTCTGTCACTCTGCCTTTTCAGAGAACTGGAGCAGGTGTCACAGAGGCGGTCCTGTTTGCTGATGGGCCCAACATGCTCAGAAGAGGGAGGACAAAGGACCCCCCTGAGCCTCCTCCATGCAGTGTGGGCCAGAGAGGGACAGCCACCTCCTCCCTCAGGCGCCATCCCAGCAGAAGCCCCGATGTGGTGTCAGTGCCCACGATGGGGTAACACTCAGGAAAGGGCAGATACTGTAAGAGGAATGAACACGAGTGTGGTTCAGGCAGGGAGGACACAGATGGTATCCAGCCTCTAGCAGCATGGTGACAATGACAGGCAAGGGCCTCAATGGGTGTCAGAGTTCAGGTCATCTCTGGCTTGGGGAGTACAGTCAGGACCTACGGTTGCTCAAATGACCACATTGAGCTTCAATCGTTCTTGAAGTCATTGGTTTTTTTTTTTTAAAGTGGGGGAGCCCAGCACTGTAGCCTAGCAGCTAAAATTCTCACCTTGCACGTGTTGGGATCCCATATGGGTACCAATTTTAGTCCCGGCAGCCCCGCTTCCCATCCAGCTCCCTGCTTGTGGCCTGGGAAAGCAGCTGACAATGGCCCAAAGCCTTGGGACCTTCACCCGTATAGGAGACCCAGAAGGGGCTACTGGCCTCTGGCTTCGGATTAGCATAGCTCTGGCCGTTACGGCCACTTGGGGAGTGAACCATTGGAGAGATCTTTCTCGCTGTGTATCTGACTTTTCAATAAAAATAATAAATCTTTAAAAAAAAAACTTGAAATAGTTTACATGGTGCATCTTTGTTTTTAAAAAGCATGTAATTGGAAGGCAGAGTTAAAGAGCTCTCCCATGTGCTGTTCACTCCCCAGATGGCTGCAGAGGCTGAAGCTGGGCCAGGAGCCTCCTTGGGTCTCCCCCATGGGTGCAGGGACCCAAGGGACTGGACCATCCTCCGCTGCTTTGCCAGGCCATGGATTGGAAGTCGAGCAGCCGTGACTAGAACTGGCATCCACACGGAATGCTGGCACTGCAAATGGCAGCTTTACCTGCTAACGCCTGGCCCAGTTCCTACCTGGGAAGCCCTCCCAGATGTGGAGAAAGAGCCCTGGGCACCACCCTGTTTACCCCGCAGCACAGGCCCCATGCCCCCCAGTCACTGTCATAGCCTGAGTGCTTCATGGGCAGGACACCCAGCCCGGGGTCCACCTCTCACTTGGCCCCAGACAAGGCCCCAGCTGGCTTCCAGCACACAGGCACAGGGGTGTCCCCACAATGAAGGCGCCGGCTTGTCGAGGCGCTGCCTCTAGGTCCCTGGGGAAGAACGTGTGAGCCTGTCAGGGGAGGGGAAGGTCCCTGAGCTGCCACACATCATGGGCCGCGGAGACAACACTGCAGCCCCATGTGCAGAGGCCGACACGAGCTGGCCTGGAAGACTGCTCAGCAGCCCAGCCGACTGCTCCCCTCAGCCCAAGCACTTGGGCCTTCCCAGACAGGGAGCTGGACTGGACGATGAGCAGCCAGGATTTGACCAGTGCCCATATGGCATGCCAGTGCTGTAGACGGAGGCCTAGCCTTCTATACTGCACTGGCCCCTTAATCTAATAACTGCTTGTTTTAATTTTATTTGAAAGGTGGGGGAAGTATGGAGGGAGGTATTCCATCCACCAGTTTGCTCCCCAAATGCCCACCACTCCCAGAGCTGGGCCTAGAATACACCAGGAGTGAGGAGCTGCATCCAGGCCCTGCTGCTCCACAGGGTGGCCAGCAGCAGGGAGGCCGGCTGGGAGCATAGGACAGGCTGGACCCCAGACACCCTAACTGGGGGACATTCCCTGCTGCGCCCACACCCGCCACGGCCAACCTCATGACCCCTCCTCCCGTGAGGTGGAGCACCCACCAGTGCCCAGCAACCAGGATCTGAGCTCCATCCTTCAGGGTGGCACAGCGTCCACCTGCCACACTCCCTTCCCGTCCTCAGCACTGGCCCATGGTCTGGATGCTCACTTGATGATCTGGGTACCAGGCATCTAAGGCCATTGTCCTGGCAGAACTTCGGGACCCATGGGATATGGAGAGATCCTGAGCAGCAGACACGAGCTGACAGGGTTCATGGAAAGCAGACCCACACAGACCCGGAGGCCACTGGCCAGCGACCCTCCTCCCCCACAGGAGACCCACACAGACCCGGAGGCCACTGGCCAGCGACCCTCCTCCCCCACAGGAGACCCACACAGACCCGGAGGCCACTGGCCAGCGACCCCCCTCCCCCACAGGAGACCCACACAGACCGGGAGGCCACTGGCCAGCGGCTCCCTTCCCCGACAGAAGTGAGACCCACACAGACCGGGAGGCCACTGGCCAGCGACCCCCCTCCCCCACAGGAGACCCACACAGACTGGGAGGCCACTGGCCAGCGGCTCCCCCTCCCTCTGCAGTCTGTTCACAGCAGGGAACAAAATGGCCAGCCCTGAACCCCAGGGAGGCACGTGTCCTTCCTGTTATGCTTTCTGACCTGTGACAGCCTCAGACGCTGCATCCCATGTGGACACACCACTCCCCTGTTCAGCCCAATTCTAGAGCCAGCGAAAC